TTTTTTTTTGACGTTTATTGACAAATGTTAAAACTATCGTTACCATGACATAGTTCACATTGTTGGAGGAGGCGAAACACCAAAACGGTTATTCCACGTCGTCAAGAGTATAATCGCTTATCAATACATCGTAACTACGTAAAATTTGTAATTGCTATTGGCTAAATTTCTAATGAATTATATAATCATTTCAAAAAAATATACGAGTTAAGCTGTCGAATTTTAAACTCTGATAAACTAGTTTAGGCAAATATTATTTTTTAAGACGGGTATATTTTAGATAATCTAAGAATAATCAAATTTCTTTCATATGCAGTTCTAGTAAATATAGATTAATTTGTGTCTCTGGATTGTGACATAGAATTCGTTTCAAACATTCAGCTAGCCATTTTAGTTACACCCCGTAGCTATGAAATATGTAGGTACCTCAAAAAGAACAATTGCTAAGAATTTCATGGCAAGCATATACCAATAGTCGGTTGTCAGTTCGTACTTATTTGGATGATCGGGTGGATATCTTTTGCCTGGATAATAACAAATAGCACCACTTTCGGATGTAGAATCAATATCTGACCTAACAAATGCTGAAAACGTACAGTCACTATAGGTATTTAATTTAATATGCACTGGTTAGAAAAAGATTCACTATATGCATAGCAAAGTACTTACTCTTTGCCCTAGTTACATAATAATAATTTTAAGCAAAAAATTTTATTGACGAGCCTGCTTTTGCAGATTTTGGTCGAGGTAAATATTAAGTTTTTCCGTCGACGTTACCACGAGGCTTGTTCAGAAAATAACCGAACTTTATTTTTTTGGAGTCTTGGGGCGTGGAGATCTTTTGCTAATCCGTTGTGATGATTGAACTTTTGTCTCAATGTCGTAGCCGTAAACCCAGCTTTCGTCTCCCGTGCTGATCCTTTGAATGAATGTTTAATTTTTAGTCAAAATTTCATGGCATGACCCAATTGAGACGCTAACCTCTTCTGCAATTTCACTGACAGCCAATCGGCGATTTGCACGCACCAGATCTTTAATTTTCTGAACCTGGGAGCCATCAGTTGAAGTCGAAGGCCTTTCCGGTGGAGGATCAACTTCATTTGATTGACGACCGCTTTTAAATCGTGAAAATCATTAATAACATTGCGTACGTCCCAGAACATTATGTCCGTAAGCTTGTTTCAAAGGTTGAAGCGTTTCCGTGAATGTTTTCCTCATACACGCAAAATGTTACGTTGCCTCGTTGTTCCAGAAAAACGCACATTTCAAAAATCGTCACTAACACTTAAACACGTTGCACTCTAATAACAATATCACAAAAACTAAATGAGATATCAGCAATCCAAGAACATGTGGTTGCAGAGGAGGTTATGCGCAACGCAATGTTGCCAACCGCATATCACTAAATATTTCCATTAGCATGTAATTAAAAAAGTTATTTTCTGAACAGACCTCGTAATTGGCCTTGACTTCTTCACTCAACATATCTAGTTTAATAAAGTTTTTAAATGTCACATCATTTTATCGACGCAAAAACTTCCAGGACGCTATTACTTCACGTATATTTTTACAGTCTCTGTTAGAGTCAGTACTTACTCTCACTTTCAAAGTCACATGTTTTAGGTACATGACAAGATATCTATAAAGATACATCTCTGATTCGAAAGTTAATTTGTAAAACTGCATTTCATGGTGAGATCTACGGAAAATAACTATATGTATACGAATATATAACATTTATCTGCTCCCACTATAGTAAATAGACTATTAATACATTGTTTTTAAGGATGTAAGTGGATTTTACCGCAGAAGTGGAAGTTGCTATGGACAAGTGAGGTAACTTGCCTCCCTAGGGAAAAAAGCGATTTCGAGTTATAAATGCATATTTTATGAACAAATAAATAGAAATATTTGATGAACATTACATTTTATTAATTATTATGAATGAATATATATAGAAATTGTACAGTTGTTACATTTAGTAACATTTATAAAATCTGGATAATTATTCCCCACGCGTTTACTAATTGTCACATTTTTCTCAAAATGATTTGACCGCTCCATTTCAGTCACCCGGGGCTCAATATTATCTGACTGATCCATTCAAACAACATGGATGCGACGTACCTACTATTAGAATGTGGAGTTGAAGTGTCATTGTAAAGAATCCTGTTGGCTATTTCAATTTTTGTACTTAAACTGTCAGCAACATAACTTTCTGCAATTGTGGGTGATTTCAACCCACCATGTCTCTTGATTGCTAATACATCAACTCCTGTAGTCAGTAACGTTGCCGATGTTCTTCGGCATGAATGGCCTGTATATGTTTCAGGATGTTCTAGTTTCAAAAACTGTGCAATCTTATCAGGAATCATAGAAAGCGTATTCTTGCCGACTGGTTGGTCGTAACATCTACCTGCTTGATAGCGCATAAAAAAGCGTGAAACTTCAGTTTTAATTTCCAATCTAATCTTGATATATTTCTTGAGAAATTCTAAGTGAGAAACAGAACCCAGGCGATAAGTAATTGTAAACGTACCTACGTGACATACCATTTTTAGAATCTGGAATTGTTACTACAATAGTGTCATTGAAAATTTTGAAATTGACGTTGTCCAAAGTAAGTTTCATAACTCATCAGAAAGGCATGCTCCTGAAATACCTAAGACCGTCACTACCTTCATTAGCAAATATGTGTTATCGGGTGCCTGAACGAGAAAATCGTTGACTCTTGTAAAAACGTTTGACTTTTTAGATGTATAGCCATCATTTTTTCGTTTCAAAAATGCTCTCAGCTCAGGTATTTTGATATATCCACGTTCACCTCTATGAAAATATATAGTTGACTTAATCCTAGAGTATTCACTCCACAAACTCGCCAGTGACTTTAAAGTTTTTAACTTCTCCATGAAATATGCTAGCAGTGACATTTCAGAAACACCAGTATTTTCGTTCTGGCACCATTCTTTGAAATTTTTATATGCTCGTCCGTAGCGCACTTATACAATAAAAAATCGCAGGCACCATTTGTTGCACTTTCTATTTGAGAATCACTCATTTAGAAATAATAATTCAAAACCAGCAAAATTGCAACCTTTATGAGCTTTGTTTATAAACACCTTAGAAATGACAAAATCCAAACAACCAGGGCGACTTTGCAAGATTTCGAATAATGTCAAAATGAATTGGTTAAGAAATGTCAAAAAATAAAACCTAATCTTTATTTCATGAACCATAAAGAACTGTGGGAGCAGATAAAATGTTATACACTACGCAGCAGTTAAGTATAATTTACCAGTCTCGGACTCTATTGTCAGTCCTCGCTCCACTCGGGCGCAAAATCGTCCTCGACTGGTAAATAACACTTATACCCTTTATGGTGTAAATAACTATTTGTCTAGGTGTCAACGTGACGCAGCATAAAATAATAAATACATGTGACATTTAGGCTTGGTACTTTGAGTCTCGGTTAAAACTTAATTAACTAATCAGGCGATTAGACTGTGAATATATTTTGATGAAATAAATCAGTGTACGTACTGGCTTAACCGAAACTCAAAGCACCTGACCTTAGGCGTAAAATAAGTACATATTTGGTATTTTATGAAGTTAACGAAATTAAAATTGAAGGTAATTTCATAACTTACTAAAATATACGTTGTTCTTACCGGAAATTGTGGTATTGACAAATCCTCTTAAATTATAATCAATAGTATGTTTATATATCTCTTGCGGCACAAAATCACCGGTAAAAGCTATAATGACAGCCTGAAAAAGTATAAATTAGAACTACCAAAAAAATGCTAGTCACATACAGAACCTTCATAAATGGTTACAAGCCACGGGACCACTGTCAACTAAAAATCCCTAAATCTTCGCGCCACCAATATTAATGATTGGTTTACAATGAACAATGACAAACCGTTACGTCTATGCTCGAGATAATGTAATCGCGGATTGGTTGAATAAAATCTGAATGTTGTGTTTTAATGTAATCTCATTATTTTATTGAAATTTAATTGCCAACGTGAAAGAAATAAAATTACTGTTCCATACAAAATTACTGGTCACGTGGCTTGTAATCATTTATGAATGTTCTGTTGAAAGAGTAAGGATTTTCTCATGGTTAGCCGATACAAAAGTATAATTTTTTCGTATTAAAGATGAAAATATGTACCACTTTTCCTCAACTAAATTACTTACGTTCGTCATTGCACCCGCGTAAGTGATTGCTTGAAGGATTCCCATCCAAGCTCCTATTCCGGCAACCTTATTGGGAACAGGTCTTTTAAAATGGTTCGTTATTTTGTAAGCGTCCACCCTTAGCTCCACGAGATTGTTGGCTAGGGCTAAGAAAGGCGCTAGAGGAAAACCAGCTACGAAGAACACCACAAAGCCGTATTGTATCACTAGAATTAAAAAATATCGTTTTTCGTGAATATTCTGGCGTTTTTTCCTGTATCGAAAAACAAGTTGTAAACTCAAATAGGACAAGGATAGCGGTACACAACTATAAATCAATTTCTAGGTAGCGGTAGCGCATCCAGTCAACTTTTAATGCACTAGATCACAACAGACGTTCAAAATGTTTACCCCTTTCCATAAATTATGACAAATAACAAATCTCACACTTTATTGACGTAACGACCAATAAAACTGATCGGAGCCGTTGTCAACAAATAGCGCGCCAGTGGCGTGTACTTCATTAAATAGACATAGCAATATACAGGGTGTTAGTAAATAAGTGCGACAAATTTCAGGGGGTGATTCTACATGAGAAAATAATGGCAGTTTGCTTATAAACGTATGTCCGCAAATGATTCGTTTTCCGAGATACGGGGTGTCAAAGTTTTTCTTAAAAACTGACGATTTAATTTATTGCTCTGAAACCGGTCGAGATGTGCAAATGAAATTTGGTGGGTTTTAAGAGGTAGTTATTGCGCATTTTTTGATATGCAATTAAGAATTTTATGTTCATCATTGGCGCGCGTACGGGTAATAATCTCAATTTTTTTAAAGAAAAAATGGTACGCCACTGAGATATTACAAATTAAAAAT